TACAACAAATTTCTACTCTACTATAAGCTCCCACCAGTTTCAACTCCACAAACACTTGGTTCCTTTTTACAATTACTTGCATCTAACAGGATCTGAAATTTATTTTAATTTAGCCAAAAAAGGCTAAAACGATAAAAATGGCATATGACCTATAAGTCATCTGATTTCACAATAATGATTGCTCATTACCTCATTGACATACTTCTTATAACAAGAATGTAAATCTTATTATCCAATTACTATACCCAAGATTTTGCGGGTGAATGCAAAACTCGTATGCCCTACATTCCTAGTATTATACGTAATTCAGGATTACTGATTTAAGAATGTAGATTATTGTACTTTTTTATATATTTTATATAAAATCAGAACAATCAACCAGAATCAAAATTTTGTGGATGAATGCAAAACTCGAATGTAAAACATACTCTATAACTTTTGACTATGTTCCTGGTATACAAGGCTTTTACACTGCTATTGCAGCCTCAGAGCCTAATTACCAAATATAAGATTTTTGAGCTACTATTGTAGTCACAAAACCTAAAATATTATATAAAATCTTTGCAATTATGAAGCCTAATCATCAAACATAATATCCTTATACTACTATTGCCTAATAACAATATAGGATCCTTGCACTACCAGTACGATTTTAATAAAAAAAGATGGTTAAGACCATCATTTTTTATTGTGATAGTGATCTTACTTGGTCATCAAAATTTGGCTCCGATCTATTAATTTAGATACTTATCGTTATGAGCACTCTAAGAACTATATACAAATATCCATAAAGATTAGTCAATATAGTCATTTGGTTTGCTTTTCAGAATTAGTCAGTAATCTTTCAAAGTGCTAGTGATATAATTATATATATTATTATAATTAATAATATGAGTGCTGCCAAGAGAAAAACTGTCATCAGATATTCAATTATATTTTGTATACAGTTAGCTATTATAGAAAATCTATCATAACGATAATGATAGATTTTTTACAGATGGCTAACTGTATACAAAATATAATTGAATGCTCGATAACTAGTTTTTCCTTGGTAGCACTCATATAGTATATTTGATTAGTGAATATTGTGATATTTGTTATATTACTAGTACTTTAAAAGAGTTGTTCTAACTAATTTATTTTATTAATAGGCCTTTAATAAAATAATTATTATTATTAAAATTATAATTAATTAGATTTTAGAAGATAATAATCAAGCATTAACACCAGAATTAAGAAGTTTAGTACAAAATCGTTAATTTTGGGCAAATGCAGAAGCTTTAGCAAAAATATTATTACCTGCTAAAAATGCTGTCAAGATGGTTGAATCAAAATCTACAATAACTGCTGATGTTTTTTTATACCTTATACAAATGGCGGTTGCTATTAATATACTTGAAAAAGATAATTTATATGAACATATGGAATTCTGTAAGCAATGTATTCAATTTTATAACAAATGATGGAAAGAATTTGATATAAAAACTTATCTTTTGGCATATTTCCTTCATCCAAATTATCGAGGAAATGGTATAAAAAATTCATTATTTCACCAAATTTTATATACTGCTCTTGAAATTTGGAAAAAAATCGGCAAAGGAGGATTAGCAAGTGCAAATATATTAGTTGCACAAATCAAAATGTATGATGCATATGAACCCCCATATAACTTTGCTTTTGTAGAAGGAGTTGAGTCACCACAAACCTGGTGGAATGGATGTAAGCTAGAAAATCATTATTTGCAAAAACTTGCCTTGCATTACTAGCAATTACACCTCATAGTGCAAGTTGTGAATGCATATTTTCAGTTCTAAGTTGGATTACTCAGAAAAGAAGAAGCAGGTAAATTTAGTAATATGCACATAAAACACAA